TCTCCTTCACTATTCATATGAATAATAAAGTGGGTAGAAAAAATCCCAACTTTTTATTATAGTAGTTAATTTCTAATTAAACTGAAGACTTTATCTTATGAAATTAGATTCAAAATAAATCTAGTCAAAAAGAAAAAACAAAGTCTATTCATAAAAAAATGAAAAAAAAAGACAGAAAAAGCACCAAATAAAAAAAATAAATCTAAGGATCAATTTAAAAAGAAAAAAAAGCATTACAAAAATGAGTTGATTCGCTCTTTAATAATCCAAGTTTTTCAGATGCCTAAGGTAATATATAACATGGGTAATTAATATATACATATAGTCTATAAATAGATGATGTAATATCGGTGACCTTACACATGTCAAGGACAGGGCATGCAATATATTGACTTTAACAAACAACCTTCTCCGTGTAATAATGGTGGAGCTAAAATTCTTTAAATGAATAGGTAAATTATTAATAAATATTTAATATTATATATCATGTAGATATGTATTATATAGAAAAATTAATTTAAAATATATCAAACAAAATTAATTTAAAAATACTTTCAAAATGAAAAAAAAATTATGTTATAATTATTTTTTTTCAAGTTTTTATATTTTAAAACCATTTTATTATAATTTTATTACCAATTCCATTAAAGATTTTTTTCTTAATATATATAATCAAACTATCATTCATCTACTTTTAGTTTAAAATGACTTTGATGCTTTTGTTTTCTAAATCTTCAGGACTAGTTATGTTCTTGACAACAATTCTACATTGACATATAATAGAGAGTAGCTAAAATCATAACTTAAAATGATTGATATGATAAATTAATATTGTTATTGTTGGCTTATTGTTTTCTACATATGGGTTAAATATAAATATTAAATATTTTTTTTTTATTTTTCTATTATGTATCTAATTTTTTAAGTTGTTTTGTATTTCAATTTTAATCGCCAGTAAGTTTATTATCATCCATTTTTAATATAAAATTCATAGTAAGATACTTATTAATTCATCAAAACTCATTTCATTTCATATATATATATATATATATAATATTACCCATATACATATTAATCCAACTAACTCTTAAATTATCATAAATCCTAACATTTTCAATAACTAATTGTAAAGGAATATAATTAAAATTAAATAATGAAACAAATAGAAAAGATGAAGGAAACTTACGGAAATCATAAAGTATAAAAAGTTATTTGCTTAACTAATTAATAACTTAAGAATTAAAGAAAAATTTTGTACAAGAGAGAGAAACAAAAATGATAGCTTGAAAGAAAAAAGAAAGGCTCTTCAATAAAAGAAAAAAATGAAAAAGATTAATGAAATATCTTGTACATATATATTATATATTATATTATTTTGTAAATTAATAATAGTTAACTTGGATTAATCGGTAACCAGCAAAGAAAAAATTAAACTTATTAAAATATTATTAATATTCTAACATAAAAAAATTATAAAAAAAGATTAAGGGGCTGTTGCCCCCTCATAACCCGCTCCGCCATTGCACACAGGCGCACGCAAAAAAGAAGATGAAGAATAACAAGAAGAAGAGGATTACTTAGAGTGATCAGTGCTTTATTAATACTAATTACTATCATCAAATACATTCAATTTATACAACATTTGCTATATATTTTATATATATGTTTCATGCATTGAGAACGCGTCAACCACATGGGCATGCATGGTGTGAATTTATTGTCCAAGGTAAACCACGACTTTCCGTGACATTTCCATCTTCTTCTGAAGTCTAGCCCTATATATTCTTGCTCATAAAGTGTGAAAATGTCAAGAAATTCTTGAGCAAGCTTTGAATCTCTCTCTCTCTCTCTCTATATATATATATATATACATATATATATATACATATATAGACACGCTTGTTTCTTTTGGCTTTCCAAGGAGAGGAGGGGTACATTGGTCGATAAAGTCTTAACTCTTTGAAGCATATCAAAACTGATCATTGGCAATGAAGGTACGTACGCAATTAGTCACATCGATCTTTTGGCACTAGAATTTATATATACATATATGTATACATATAAAGTCACGTTGTATGTATTAAATTAATTTATGATCATGTCTTTTCTTCTCCTTTAATCCTTTCGAAAATCTTCCTGCTCGGTTTGTACAGCAAAAAGTAGTGTTCAAGGTACAGATGAATTGCGAGAGATGTAGGATTAAGACGCTCAAGGTTGTGTCGGATGCAGATGGTAAGTTTTCAAGCTTGACTACAAAAAGCAAACCTTTGCGTCTCCTTTGATCTGATGTGTGTATGTGAGAGAGAGAGAGAGAGATGTTGACTTTAATTAAAGGTTAAAAGTTGAATTTGGTGTAATACTGTGGCAGGTGTGTATTCTATGGGATTTGAAGGAGAGAGGAAGGAGAACGTGGTTGTGATCGGAGATGGACTTGATGCTGCTACTTTAGCCAGCAGGTTAAGGAAGAAAGTTGGGCACACTGAAATTATCAGTGTTGCCCCAGCGAGCTGAAAGACAGACAAGGCTTCTAGCTCCAACCCCAATTAGCTTTCATGAAAGAGTTAAAACTACTCTAAAGTCTATGTTGTAGAGGATCTGCATGTGGTGCAAAGAGATGTGATCGCAATAAAATTTGTTTTGTGTTAGTTCGGTCCCTAGCTACAACCCTATAGAACAGTCTTCTTTGGAGTTGACTGCAATTCAATAATAATAATAATAATAATAATAATAATAATAATAATAATAATCCATTTCCACCTTTAGTGTTAATTAATTATGTGTTTTTTCATAAAGTCTTAATATTTATCCCGGCTTTTTCAGTACATATACACTAATTATTAGTGGAATGCCGTTTTTGTCTTGGTTTCTCGTCCTTTCGTTTTAAATCCTTGATCATTATACACGTTTCATCATTTGCCAAAGGTAAAAAAGATAATATTTGAAAAAAAAAAATCAAAACGTGATCAACTTGCTATCATTAACCTTTTTTTAATTATTAATATGAATATCCAAATCAACATGTGCACACCTTATCATGATTAATTTTATTAATTACTAATTAGAGTTTTCATTTAATTCACATAATCTACAAAACTCCTTACCTTTTTCATTTAAAGCGAACCAGCCTTTTCAGTACATATACACTAATTAATTAACTCTAAATGGCTAAAATGTTTTTTTCTTAAAAAAAAAAAAAAACAAACCTTTGCATCGTGATGTAGGACTGTGAATTAAATGGTTGTTAATTTTGGTAAGATGGGCTTCATGCAAATTGTTTCATTGAGTCCTTGGCCATTAGATTTCAAGCAACTCCCACTTCAAAATCTCGGAAAAGGTGGGGAGTTTGCTCAACTAATTAAAAAATTGCACGTTTTCACAAAAGAAAATCTAGAATATATATATATATATATATATATATATAAATTTGGCATCTAACCTTATAGCTAGGTAGGATTTGAATCCACTACTCAATCCCTCAAAATGTGGATGCTTCACGCTACCTCAACTCCTTCTTTAAGAATTCATCACCATGTTATCAATCCCACTTTAATTCTAATCAAGTTGATCCCGCTATATGAATTTCTGGAAATGAATAAGAAGCAAAATCCTTGGCCTTAACAAATTGTTTGATCACTAGCTATGAGTTAGGCCACCTCCACCCATCTTATAATGAATGATTCACGAGCTATAGAGCTCTTAAAAATGGAAAATATAGATGGTGTTATGTGGTATTGATTTAGTGCCTTCTAGCTTTTGCTTTTTAACTCATTTTTATTTTAAAAAAATATTAATTAATGTTTTTCAACGTGTTTTGAAGTGCTGATACTAAAATAAATAATTTTTTAAAATTATTATAATGTATTTTTAATTGAGAGACACTTAATTAGTGATCGTAATAAAGAATATTGTGGCCTGTAATATTATAGTAGATTTATATATATATATATATATAACAAGGATTAAAAGCAATTTGAAGAAAGAATTTTGATGCTAAATTTAATCGTGTAACCTTCAATAGATATTTACTTGCTTATAAAAAAATAATTTTAAATCTAGGATTGCTAACTTGTTTCCCTTAAAAAAAAAAAAGAAATTTGAAGATATATCAGCATGGTAGCCTGGTAACTTCCGAGAACTCAATCCATACGCTACGTTAGAAATGATGTGATGGTGACCTCTGTTCTGTTCAAGCTGTGTCCTTCCCTTACTCGGTAAGGACACGGCATTCTGCACCGCTTTAGCAGCACGAGCTTGCTTTCTCCCCCAAGAAAGCCTTTTCTTTTCTTTTCTTCTTGTTGAACAGTAGTGATGTCCATATATAAACATACTACCACTACTTGGCAGTTAAATATTTGAGCAAAATTAATCATCTAGGTGGTGGTCAAGTGGTAAAAACTTGAGATTAAGGGGTTTGCTCCCTCTGTGGTCTCAGATTCGAATCCTTAGTTGCTCATATAATGACCACTGGAGGCTTACATGATCGTTAACTTTAGAGCCCGTGGGATTAGTCGTGGTACACGCAAGCTGGCCCGGACACCCACGTTAATCTAAAAAAATATTTGAGCAAAATTGGGAAGTCCAGAACCTGCATCTACTCATGTATAAGATTGGTTTGGATTAATAATTAGTTCCATAAAATTAATAATTATCAAGAACACATAAAATAATTAATTAATTTGATATATTTTCCATGCATTAATTAAGATCGAGCACTCCAAGCACAGGGACTTCATGGTGTGATTAACGTTTAACCTGGTAAACCAAGCAAGTTCGACGACTTTCCACCCTTGTTTACTTGTCATTAATTCTAAACGTGCTCAAAGGGCCATAATATATACAGCCACTCAAGATATTAAACACCTCTCCCTCACTTGCACACACACACACACACAGAGATAATTCCACATCTTGGAAATTCTTAGTATTCCTACCACAATAATATTTAAGCTAGCTAGAGTTCATTGGAGATCTCTCTCCCTCTCTCTATATATTTCTTCTTAAATTTTTTAATCAAAACTGATCAAACACAATGAAGGTATTACTTACTACTTTGGCAGCTCGATTTTTAATTACAATCACATTACGTACTACAGAACTAATTAGTTTACGATGTCTTTCTTCTTCTTCTTCTTCTATTTTGTTTTCTGATTTTTTCTTGTTGGGCACTTGTGCAGCAAAAAATAGTGCTCGGGGTACAGATGAATTGCCAGAAATGCAGGAGGAAGGCACTCCAGGTTGTGGCAGAAACGGATGGTAAGCGTTGAAGCTTACAAATTAAAAGGCTATTTTTCTTTCTTCTTTTTTTCCCCTTTTGCTTTCTCTGGGGTACATGCATGCATGTGTATTTATCTAATATAGCTTGAGATCCTTTAATTATTAGAGATTAAGATGCTTGATGTCAAATATTAATTACTGTGGAATGCAGGTGTAAGTTTTTTGGGATTAGAAGGAGAGAATAAAGAAAGAGTAGTGGTGATTGGAGATGGAGTTGATGCTGCCAAGCTAGTCGGCAGGTTAAAGAAGAAAGTTGGATATACTGCCATTATCAGTGTTGCACCGGCGGATTCCTAGACGAGGCCCCATTCCAATACTCTTATTTATTATTCCTTTGTGGCTCAGCTTTCTTGAGAGTAGATTGTCAAATCTCTGTTTCATTGGATCTTGCATGGTGATAAGAGAACTTTGATCGAAATTATAAGATTTTCTTTTAACATTTTAAGGGATTGTTTGATAGTTTTGTATTGGTTTTTATTTTTATTTTTTAAAAATTATATTTAAATAATTCTTTTTAATATAAAAATAATCTGAAAATATAAAAAATAATTTTTTTCCAAAAAATCATTTGATGGATTTTTGGAACTAGAATGGTTAGTTTTGGATCTATAATTGTATGGAGCCTAATTTTTGATATTTTACATATTATAAAACCAATTTATTTATTGTTTTTTTTAATCTAAATGGGTTAGATAAATTGGGTTAGGCTAATTTGTTTTTTTAGTTATTATAAATATTCACGAGTTAGACTTGTATCACTAATTTTTACGGATTTGTATTTCAAGATAACTGTACAACATGGACCGTAGTTTTAATGGTTTCAGGACACTCTTAACATGAGATCTAATTTTTTTTATTTTGCACTATCATTAAATTCTAGTTACCTCCTTTCTCTCTCTTTTTTTTTTTTAACAAAGAGACATTTTTTTTAATGTTAAATAAATCTAATAAGAAGTTAGTGATAAAAATCTTGGAAACAAAATATTTTTAAATAAAATAAAAATAAATACCCAATTTAAAAACTAACAAATATAAAAACAAAATAAATATAGGGTATTTAGGTTCAAGTGGGTTGACGATGTTTCAAAAATTTGGACTTGTCACCTCAGTCGTGATATTAATTTTTTAGATTTTTAAATTTATTATCATTTATAATATTTATATTATTTAATTTTGATGAGTTGAGTAATATAATACCTATATTATTTATGAGTCGGTTTTTTTAACACATCTAAGCATTTCTTTCCACCATATATTAATTAATTAGTTAATTTGATGCCTACATCAATAAACAATTAGTTTTCTTTTGAGTAAATTTGTCAATATGAAAAACTTAAATAGCATAACTTTCGTTGAGCACAAAGAGAAATTATATAGGAAAATAATATTTGTAAAATTGTGATAACGGAGTTAGACGGAGAAGTCTTAATCACTCGAGTTTTAACTGTAACTGTAAAGTCTTCAAAAATTCTAATTCTTTCTTTTACAGTGCACTACGCGTTCAATCTTTCAAGAAGAGCTCTCCTAACAAAAATTGTTAGCTTTAAGGAATATTGGCGGCCCCCCACAATTAATTATAATTAATGGCTCACAAGCTAGAGACATGCCCAATAAGCAAGTAATGTAAGTTCATCAATGACACTTCAAGCTCCATCAATGGTAATCGTGAATTCTAACTAATATGGTAACAGTGACTTCGTCGTCTTGGCAAATTACGGTATTGCTGAGATCGTCAATACATGGAAATGGTATGGAAGACCTCAATGGACTGCGATACCCTTCAGTAAAGATGACAAGTTTGCACATGGTCGTGAATTAGAATCTCTCTAGAGAAACAACACATCGGCACTGACCCCCCACCCCTCTTTTTTTGACATGGACACCTCGTCCGCCTGGAACTAGCCATGTGCTAATGCTCTCCTTCTTCAGTCTATATATAGTCGAGTGAGAGTGAGCCCTTGGTGCTCTTTTATGCTGTTTTCATTAACTTGTTTTTCACGTTTGACATACTCTGTTTGCATTTCTTTTCTTCTTCTACCTGGAGATCACACGAATCATCATCATCCAGGACTGATCCAACACAATGAAGGTATCCATGTCTAGTTCCTTTTACATACAGAGACCATGAGTTCCATTCTTGCATTGTTAATTTTTTTCATGGTTAATTAATTGGCAGCAAGTGATCGTGTTCAAGGTCCAGATGGCCTGTGGGAAAAGCAGGGTCAAGGCTCGCACGGTGGTGGCAAAAGCTTGTGGTATTTATTGAGGAATTTTCATAATAGATTTTTCTTTTCCCTACTGTTTCTGGTAAAGAATTAATGACACAAATTTTCCTCTCAACATTTTCTGGAATGGTAATTATAGTGTTTATTAAACAAATTAAGACTCCCTTTTGTACTTTTTGGATCTTGCATCTCGAGGTTTCAAGTTTTTCTTCTTCTCTTCTTTGTTTTTCAAAGAAAGCATATAGGGAGGGTTCATGCCTTGATTATGGGATTTGGGGCCAGGCATGTATGAGTTGTAGGCTTGGCTGATCAATGTTTTCCTCTTTGATTCGCAGGAGTGAACTCTCTGGCATTACAAGGAGACGACAGAATTGTGGTCTCTGGAGATGGAATTGATGCAGCCCATTTGACTTACTGCTTGAGGAAAAAAGTTGGGCATACTGATATTATCAGCATTATGCTCGTGCAGCAGTAGAAACATGTCACTGCTACCTACAAATGGCCATGTATATATCATGACCACATCATTCATTATAGTATATATTTAGCCTTGATTAACCTCTAAGTCTATTCTCTGGGGAAGCTTTAAGATGATACAGAAAATCAGAAACAGTAATTAATTTCCTGCAGCTAGTATTTCCTTTTGTTTTCAACTATGTAGTACTCTGCTTCTAATCAATGAAAAGAGTAGCTTTGTTGGCAAAATCACTTCCAATCTCCTTAGAGAGTGCATGGGATCACAAATATTCACATTGTGATCAATGGTCAAGTTAATCAATCTGTTACTTGATGAAGTTATCTGTTTGGTGTTTTACAAACCATAATCTTGATTAGTTAAGGATTAATTAATTAATCTTGGATTTTTAGTCAATCTCAAAATTAACCTCCAAAAACTGCCTCACTTGATGGACTATCTTCCAAACCCTCTGGAGGAAAATCCTTTGTACATTTGTCAATCTGAAGTGGTTCTACGCCACATCATCTTAGACTTGTCTGCTGACAGTGAAGCCTTGAGTTCCCACTCACCCCAAGCGGCAGGCAACAGGACTGGTCAACGCAGGCAAATCTTTTTTTAAGCCAAAAGATATCAGAGCTGGCTGCTATTGTTACATGTGGGGGACTGTGTCCTGGCATGAATACAGTGATCAGGGAACTTGTTGTTGGGCTCTGGGAGTTGCATGGTGTGCGTCGGATATATGGGATCACAGCTGGTTATAGAGGGTTTTACTCTAGGGACTCTAATCCAAAGCTTGCGCACAACCTCTAGAGGCGGTTTTGATCCTAATAAAAGTGTTGATGCCATTGAACATCAAGGTTTTGGTCAGGTTACTTCTCTCAAATTCGGCAACATTTTGTGATTTTCTTCGCTAAAAGTTTAAATTTTTCAATGTGATCATAATGAAGTTGACTGCTTTTTCGTATGTTTGGTAGCTTCCAAAATAGTATTACTTGATTCGGTGGGGAATCTTCTGAACTAGAAATTGGTGAATATATGCTACATCACATGCTTTCTTCCCACAAAATAATTCATGATCGAGTCTATGATATTATTTTTTCTTATCTTAACAATCATCTATCATGATTGAGTCCATGATAGATTACTGAATTTAGTATAGTAGTTAGGCATCGTTTTCAGAGCCCTTTGAGTTTCATGTTAGCTGGCATGAATCACTTTGGCTTTGCCTGTTATGATAGCAAAGTCATTAGCTTTTTGTGGTTTCTAGTAAAAACAACGAGAATTTTACTTGAGTGAACTTGTGAGAGAACGATTGTTTGAAAAAGTCTTCAATTGAAGTTATGGGAACCATTCCATTCTCCAAGCTGTGCCTTTTTGGTTGATATTATTATTAGCTGGAAATAGTTGCTTAGCCAACAATATCTGTATACATCAATATCCATTTGAGAGTTGGAGAGCCGCAAAGAATGATCCTTGCTCCAAAAGTCCATAAATTTGTGTTGGTCTATGCAAAACCTGGAGAAAGTTTCATCGAGTGTCCCTGGAATTGAAAATGGTCATGGGTTTTGAATGACACTTGAAACCCAAGTTTTGATAAGAAAGTCTTGAAATTTCACCGATTGAAACTCTAAAAATCTCATCCCTTAATTGGTTTATGTCAATTGGCATAGTCATTTTAACAAATCAATTCAACATTGTTTTAAATTAACCGACTTAAATCATAAATTAACGAATTGTCTTCATTGTTGTCCTGAGAGATGATCCTGTTCTCTGCTCTGCCTGATATACTTGATTAGTAATTGGCATATGTCTTATTAGTTCTTGTTTTTGTGCTTGAATAATGATGCTAGACGGGGTCTTCCCTTTCTTCAGTATTTTTCTTAAGGATAGGTGTATATAATTGGTGGAGATGGAACTGTGCGTGGAGCTGTGAAGATATCTGATGAAATTGATCGCCGCAAACTAAATATTGCAGTCACTGGAATTCCCAAAACAGTTGACAATGATAGGCATCATTGACAGATCATTTGGAATGCAGGGAGCAGTAGAAATGGCCCGGTAAGCAAGCCATGCAGCTCATATTGAGGCCGAGAGTGTAGTTAATGGTAGTGGCCTGGTGAAACTAATGGGTCGAAGCACAGGTCACATAGCCCTCCATGCCACATTGAGCAGCCGCGATGTGGATTGCTGTCTAATTCCTGAAACCAAATTTTACTTGGAAGGAAGAGGAGGCCTTGTTTGAATTTCTTGAGAAGCAACTGAAAGAGAGTGAGCATACTGATGTCAGGATTTATCGAATTTTATCACAGTTGGTCTATCATATGAGCAGACACGAATATTTCACTTATGTTCCCTGGAAAAACGAACCTGAAGTGCTGAAATGATTATAGATATTCCCTCCCTGCAGTATCTGGCTTTGTCATGGGATGGTTGGCGTAGCAGTAGCTTCCCTTTTTGCTTGTTTGGGCATGGCCACTCCGTTGAATCAGTTGAGACTTTGCTAACCAAGTTGAGATAATGGTTTTGGCTTTTGCCTGCTTAAGTTGTGGCAATGATTTTTCACTAATTATTGAATTAATTCATTTATGATATCCAATCATGCTCTCTTTAATCATTGAATGTGCGGTTTTTGGGCCATACATGTGAATCTGCTTTTACTAATCCTTACAAAATCGCAAGTCATGTCTGCAATGAGGAATGATCATCATGTGGAGTGACTGGGAGCTTACATGGAACTTGAAACAAGCTTTTATATT